CAACAAAAATAGACATATCTTTTTCGAGATATTCAATTTTCGAAAAAAAAAACGACACAGTGGTTTACCAAAGGAGAGCATCTACTTAGAGATTGAATATCTCGAGAAAAATATATTCGTTTTTATTGTACATTTCAAGTCATAGCTCATCATTAGTAGGCTATGAACTCGAATTCTTTTAAGCTTTTCTCAATTTCATAGGGAGCCTACTTGTAGAAGTCAAACGACATCTGACAATTAGATTTATTCCCTTGTTAATGAGATTGAATAAATTATATAATCAATTCTTATTTTATTGTATTTCATTGTTTAGTACTTAGTTTCAGTAATCTAAGATTTGATTTATGATTTATTAAATATTCATTTAGAACTTTATTTTAGCTATTTATTTAAAAGAAAGACTAGATATAAAAAGAAGAAATCACAGTTAATTAGTAAAAATAAGTTCACGTGTAAGATAAATATATGTAAAAGGACCTTGATGATAACTTTCATAAATAATATTTTTTGAAACATTTTTTTCTATAGCTGGTTCAATTTGTGTACCTTCATGCCATTCATTAAATGATGTAATTGTTACTATTTTATCATTAACTTTTGGTAAATCTTTAAACATTTGTTTATAATAATTTCCATTTTGTCTTGATCGTGTTGTTTCACCATTCCATGGTCGAATATTTGTATCTATATAACCAGGTCCAATACTTGGAATAAATGGTATTGATTTACATATACCAACAATTGAAGACCATCGTTGTGAAGTTGATGCTTCAGTAAAACCATTTGCAGCAAAATATGAATAAGCAGCATCAAAACCAGATGATACTAATTGTTGACAATCATTAGATTTAAGTATAAGACCAACAAAAAAAGCTTGCTGTTTTATTTTATTATTAGATAAAAATTTTTGATACCATTCATCTGCAGATATTCGATAAGAATCATAAATATAAAAGAAACCTTTTTCTTTATAACGATAAAATGCTGAATGTGAACCATATTGACGAAGAATATAATCTGACCAATATATAACATTATCAGCTGTACGATTTTGATATGGTTCAATATGAAAACAAATCTTAAGAAAAGAATTCAAATTATTAAATATAATTGATTCTATTGAATAAAATGATCATCCTTTATTTGAATAGTCATCTTATCCGACAGGATCCTTTTTTTTTTTTTTGTATTTACTTTTAATTTATATTTCTCAGCTGTATCAAGTAAAAGTGGCATAAGATCATTCCATGGATGTCCTGCATCATCAGCCATTCCAGGTGGATACCAACTTACTGATAATGTACCTTAAGAAAATTTTCATAGATTTTTTTTTTCTCTAAAACCCCAATCATTTTCTTATACCTGCACCACTCATACGAATCATTCGCATATGTTTATCAAGAATAGTAGGAGAACGAGAACTATAAGGACCAAGTAATGGATAAAAATTACTACCAATATCATCCGGTGGTTCATGTGGATTTTGTGGATAATTTGAAGCTTTTTCACGATTCCAATGAGCTAATCGACGATGATTCCAATGAAAATATTGACCTGCATCATATTCTGGATTTCCATACCTTCAGATTTTTTTTTCAGTTATAATCTTATGTTTTTTTTTTTTCTATTAAATAAAATTTAACTTACCATGGATAATAAAAAATATGATAATTATATTTCACAGGTGTTTGTTTTATAAATAAATCAAGATTATCAATTTCATAGAGAAATGATGATATTGATGTTAAAGATGATGAATGAGAATGAGAAATATCTTGTTCATATGTTATATTTAAACTTTTATATAAAATAAAACACCAAACAATAAGAATTAAAATAAAACCAATCGCAAGCCATCGGATTCGACGTCGACGGGTATATACTTGCCACATTAAACATCTACAGAAAAACTATTATTCTTCGTGTTTTTTTTATTTAATCAAATAAACAAACAAGTTTCTGATGGAATAAAGAAGATACAAAAAAGAAACAGCGATGAAATTATTTGTTAAAATAATCCTATTATTTGTCTTCGTATAAGCTTAACTTGATGTGGTAATAGCGTAAGTATGGTCAGTATGAGAGGAGGACTCAACTCCTATTACAGTGGAAAGCTTTATACTGTTAACAAAAAAACATTAGATATATTTTAGTCAAATTAAATCTCTTATTACCAGACTAACAAATTTAAACTATGAGCTACACATGGCATTCACTGAGCGAGATAATAGATTTTTTAGGACTTTACCGTCTATGTAAGATACTCGCATGTCAAAGTTTTAATACTATTTTCTTTTTTTTGTGATAGTTGGATAGAATTCCTCGAATCGTATGAGAAAAAGTATGTTTCGAACTTGAAAACAAACTTTTGAAGATTTCATAGCATTTTTTTTTGTCTTTATGCAACTTAACGAGTTCTATTCAACCATCACGAAAAAAAAAATAAATAGTACTAAAATTTTGACTTGTGGATATCTTATATATACTGTGAATCCATAAAAAGTTCATTATCTCGTTCGATGCACTCCATGGGCAATTCATATTTTAAATTTGTTAATTTGGCAATGAGAGTTTTAATTTGATCCGAATATGTCTAATGTTCTTTTCTAACAGGACAAAACTTTCTATTGTTAGTTACATCACTAGACTGTGAATGACAAAAATATCCACGCCCGAATCCACATCGAAACCTTTCAACCCATTGAAAATTATTTATTGTTGATTAGTATATGACAATTTTACATTTCTACAATTTAAATTCCAATCTGACACATACGCTTGAGATATAGAGAACAATCGAGAATAAAATAATAAATCTTTGATTATATCTTTTCTTTTGCTAACGCCCGCCGAATTGATCCCAGACCTGGTCGAGTCCGGATCTGAAAACTTTGAACCCGATACACTTTATCCTACACATTTTTCAGACGACTAGTCTGAGAAATGTGTAGGATGCAATAGCCATTGAATACAAAAAAGCCAGAAAAAAGTATCTTCGAAGTGTTCACTGAATCTATCAAAATACGGTTTGATCGCGTCCGAAAATTTTGAACCCGACGAACTCTACCTATCGCATGTTTATTCGCACTACTGATAATATATTGCCAGTAGATTATCGGTTAGTGAACAACTATCAGTATACCGTGGTAGAATAGCAGTCAGAGGACAGCCAATCGTCCGAGTATCAAACTATCGCCGGTACAGTACATATTATAGCGAACGGTCTTTCGGCAGTATTTGTCCGGGTTCGAATCACATGGACTGTTTTTTGTTTTCATCTTATAATACATAAGAAAAACAAGCCAATATTCTTGTTTTATCTGACAGATTAAACAATCAGAAGAAGACACTGTATTTTCCATCTCGATATTACATCGAATACTCACTGATAATTGAATGTTTTAATTCATTATATCCATTTGTTATTTTTTTTCTCGATGAAAATAACTCTATAAAATCATATCTACATCTATGAACGGGAAATAGAAATAAATGTATTAAACAATAATCCTAGAAAAGGTTTTTTGATTTTATTTTTTATGAGTCTTATACGTAAATAGCATATATAAAAGAACTAGGAACAAATAATATATGCTCGTATAATCAATGCTAATGATAGAAAAAAAAAAACGTTTAACGCTTTTTACGACCAAGATCATCGGCTGATTCATCGAATTTTGGGTTGGCAACATTGATCATTAATGCTTGAGCATCAAGAAATGCACGATTTGCACTTAATGAAAGCTAAAAAAAAAACAGAATAAAAATCAAATAAATTTCAAAAACATCTTTTTAAATACCGTTTTAGCAATATTTTGTGCAGCACGAATTCTACGTAATTTTAAATAACCAGGATTTTTACTAATAGCATTACCAATCTAAAACAAATGTTTTCTTTTCTTTTTTTTTTTTTTGTTGTTCTATATACTAATTATACATACAAGTTTAGCTGATTCAGCATCACCTTCAGCTAAAACAATTTTTTGTTGTCGTTCTTGTTTAGCTTGTTCAACAGTAAATACAGCTCGTTGTGCTTCTTGTTGAGCAACTTGTTTAGCTTCAACAGCAGCTGAATATTGTGGACTAAAACTAAGTTCAGTTATTGATACATCATCAAGTAATATATCAAAATCTTTAGCACGTTCAATAAGATCAAGACGAATTAAATTCGATACTTGTTGTCGTTGTGTTATTAATTGTGATGCATTAAATTTTGCTACGACACCTTTTAATACTTCATTACATATGGATGGTAAAACACGTTCATCCCAATCTAAACCTAATGTTTGATATAATTTTGGTAATTTTGTTTGATCTGGTCGAGCTAAAACTCGAAGAGCTAAAAATCAAAGAAAAATTAAATATTTTGAAAATAAAAAAAAAAAAAATTAACAAACCAATAGTAATCATTTGTAGATCTACGAAAAAAAAAAGAAAAAAAGTAAATAACTGAAAAAAAAAAACGAAATTAAGAAGAAGAAAATATTAAACCTTTGCTTCCAGTTGGTGATTTAATTATTCGTGGTCGAGCTCGAATATCATACGTAATTGGATATTGAAACCATGGAAATCTATATAAGAAATTCTCTAATCAAATCATTAAAACAATCTTTTGTCTTCTTACCTAAAATGTAATCCTTCAGCGTGAATTGTATTTTGATCAACACCACCAATACGATTAAAAATAATTGCACGGTGACCACCCTCAACTATAATAACCATGATCGATGAAATTTAAATTTTTCTTTTTTTTTTATTTATTTAAATTACCTGTAAACATGGATTTATAAATTCCATAAACAGCAGCTGATGCTCCAACAATTAATTTAACACCTAAACCTAATCCTTTTGGTGTACCTTTAGATAATCGACTAGCAAAATCATTCAATTTTTCAGCCATATTAACTGTTTTTTGTTTTTTTTCTTTCAATAATCTAAAATGAAATTTATTTGACCGAATAATTATTTATAGTAAATTAACAATTAAAATATTCGAAAATTTATTCTGAAAAAGATTTGTTTCTTAATAATGATTTATTATTTAATAATTGATTAAAAAGAGATGATATTTGTGTATCGATCGATGTTATAATCAATGAAACATCACGTTCTATTGATTGATGATTATCCTAAAAGAAAGAAAACAGAAGTCTTATTTAGATCATTATTGATTTTACTAACAAGAAAACTTCCTCAGATGTCTCCTTCCGATCTCTATGAAAAATCATCTTTTCGAATTTCATCTTGAAACTATCTCCATTTGAAGAACATAGTTTTTTCATAAAACTTGAGATCCTACAAGGGTGTTGAGTAAGTAGGTAGAGTTGTACTAATTCCTAGAAATTGATGTCAAAGATGACGTGTTTTTTTTCCTTATTAAGAATGTAGTTTCCTGTGGATTGTTTATATCAACCTTGAATGCTCTATCCGAAGGTATAGTCAATCGAAAATTGACATCTTTTTTTTGACCAATTTCAACTAATTTTAAGATCTGGGTTTTGCATTAGACAAAATGTAATAGCTTCGAAAACTGACCACAACTAGCATGAAGAACTATTAGGAGTCCAAAAATTGGTAGGATTTTTTCTTCACCGACACCAGTCAGACTGGACGGTGTAGTGGCACGAGTTATTCTTCTTTTTTACTGGCTCTAGAACAGTCAAATTAATCTCTGGATTATTCATCTCTTTTTCCTAATCACTACATTAATGGTGAAAACGCAATGCTTTCACAACTATAATGCTTTTCATTATTTATTTTCATATGTTTTCTCTGTTTTGACATCTATTGGTGAACAGAAAACTTCATAGGACTACAAATTCTATATTAATTTTATGCTTTAATTAATTAGTCTTTAGACATCGACATTATTTATTAACTGTATACTTAATCTACCTTCTGCAGAATTATGCAAAAACTAAAAGAGAACCTAGACTAGTTGTTAAAGAGAAAATTATCTCTACTAGACCGACTGTTCATCATTACCGGTTACAACTCTGCTGGTAACTCTCAATACTGGAAATATTCTAAATTTCGATCAGAAAGTCAAAATAATTAATTAATCCCTACTTACAAAACCACATGCTCAGTATTGAGAAATATCAGATCTCTAGCTATTCTTACATTTTTGTCTGATGCACAAAACACAGGTCTCAAAATCAGTCGAAAGAAAATCAAAAAATACAAATTTTCTATCGACTACAGCTTCGATATAGAACAATTATGATTGATATAAACAATCCACAGTAACTATATTCTTAATAACGAAAAAAAAAAAATAATATCATCTTTGAAAATTTGTCTCAAGAATTAGTAAATCCCTGCAAGCAGACATATTCAGAATTCAATAGTTCCAATAAGTCTTAATAGACATTCAAAATCATTTTTGAGTTTTTTTATTAAAATAATCGAAAAAAGGTATCTAATGAGATTTATTTGTAATACATACATTTGATATCCATAATTGTTCAAGTTGAACCAATGCACTATCAAGAGTATCAATAGCTGCATTAAATTTTTGTCTTTCTGCTTCTAAATATTGACAATTAACATCGCGTAATAATTCATTATTTTCTATTGTTATTGGTTGATCAAGTACACTTTCCTATTTTTTAAATTTAAATTTTTTTACCGAAAAGATAAAAAAAAGAAAATGAATTAATTACCATCCATTTCCAAAAGATATTTTCATGTTTATTCCAATAAAGAAATAAACTTAATTTATGATGTTCTTTATCAAGTTCAATTAAATACTTTAAAATATAAATAAAAAATTCCTTTATAAAAAAAAAACAAAACACAATTCGATTAAATTACTTGAGATATAAGATGAGGATATTGATAAAGTTGTATTTCAAATGATGACATATGACGATTTTCTTGTAAATCCATATGTTCAATAGCTTGTAAACGAGAACGTACTTTTAAATTACTACGTTTAGCTTGTTTGATTTGTTCAATTAAATCACATTTAACATTTTGATCTTTATCTGTCTATTAATAAAAAAAAAAAAAGAAGTCTATTTTAATACAAACACAAACAATTATCTAAATATACTTGATTATC